CTGTTGAATCTTCGAATCCAATAGGTTGTCTCATATATATGTCTTCCTCTAGATTACCATATAAAAATGCCGTTTTTATATCAAATTGTTTTAAATCGTAATTTTCTGCTGCTGCAACGGCTAAAATTGTTCTTATTGATTCATACCTTACTACTGGCGAAAACGTTTCTGTATAATCAATACCATATTTTTGTCTTGATCCATTAATGACTAACCTAGCCTTAAAACGATCATTATGTTTTATTTTATAAACCCATGAGTTGTTTATAACATTTGCTCCCACCGGCTTTGATACCAAAGTCTACGTTTCATTATCACCTAATGATTTAATTTCATCGTTCATCGCTTCTACCCAATTAGTTGCGTTATTGCACGAAATGGCTTCTTTGTATGTTAATGGCTCAGTTTCTACATACTTGGTAACGAATGATTGTGCAACATACCTGTCTGGTGGTTTTAATTTTGTTCTATCACGTAGTTGCATATTTGGATGTTCTTGTTGACTTTCTGTGTCGTTTTCCACTGGTTCTGATTTTATCTCATGAACCTGTTGTTGATTTTCATCATACACTACTACTTGTTGATTTATTTCGTTTTTAAAAATAACATCTCTAAAAATACTTATATTAGTTGTACCTGGAAACCATACTCTGTAACCTTTGGTATTATTGCTATAACCAACAAAAATGCCCTTTTTGCTTTTTGCATCCCACTTTTGTCTTTTCTCTTTTGGAATATGAGTGAATACTTCAGTTCCAAATATTCTTAAATGACTTATTTTTGGATCCTTGTTAAAATAAAGCTCATACGGTGTTTTACCTTTAATTGAACTTGTACCAGTTAAATTCAGTGTATACACAACTGTATTAACACTTTCTGCCCATAATGATATATCCAATTGCTTTGAATGTATTATTGTTCTTGCAGCTTCTACTATTGTCCGATTATCTCGTTCAATTTTTCCGTTTTGTTCTGGAGTGTACGGAACTGTTGTCTGATGACTAATTCCGTATTTCTGCAAAATACTAGTTATCTCATTATTAACAAATTCCAAACCGTTGTCAGTTCTTAAAACTTTTACTTTACATCCTGTATCAGTTTTAACTTTTTGTATAACCGTCCCGATTATATTTTTAACCTCATTTTTATGTTTCAGAAAATACACCATCCTATAATGTGTATAATCATCTTTTATTAATAGGAAATACTTTGACCCACCGATTGAATCTTTCTGCATCGGTCCACACAAATCTGCGTGTATTATTTCCCCTACTTTGTCACTACTTGTCGTACTTGGTTTAAACGAAAATTTATGTTGTTTACCCAACATACAAGAATCACAAAAAAATGTATTGTCCTTATCAGAAATCGTAATATTATGGTTTTTTAAACAATTAATTACGTACTGTATATTCTGATGTCCTAACCTTTCATGCCATAATCGCAACGAATCTTTAATCGCAATATTTACATGATGCGTAGTATTATCTAATACTTCGACTTTGAACTGCAATTGAAATAATTTTTCTTTTCTCTCAGCTACACATACAATTTTATTGTTTCTAGTAAATACACATTTATGTTTATCACTAATCATTTTAAGTCCTTTATCTAAAGCTGAACCGCATGAAAATAAATTATATTTTAATTCCGGCACGTGTAACACATTTAATAGATAATTTTTATTCCAATTACCTTTAACATACGACCAAATTAATATTTTACCTGTACCGATTGCGTACATACTTGATCCGTTCCCGATTTTGACTTGAGTCGGATTTTCTAATTTTTCGTAATCTCGAAACCAATCATAATTTGCACACATATGATCTGATGCACCTGAGTCCAATATCCATTGTTCATCATCTTTGATTGATACCAATGTCGACTCACTTATAAATGCGTTGTCGTCTTTATCCGACGATTGTCCTTGATTTTTAAGAAAACTCCTGCATTCCCTCTTGATATGCCCAACTTTTCCACAGTAAAAACATGGACCTATTTTTTTAGTATTACTTGAACTACTAAAATTGTTTTTACCTTTTTTCTGACTACCATTTTTCCAGCTCGACTTATTTTGAGATTTTGTAGTAAATGCACTAGATTTTTCAACATCAATATTACACTTATTGCTTTGTTGTACCAAACGTGATTCTTCCACTAACAAACGACTTGTTAAGTTATTAATCGTTTTATTCTCTGATTGCATTGAATCCCATGCGCTGTAAAAATGCTGATAGCTATTTGGTAGAGTCATTAGAATTTTTGTTATTAACATGTTATCTGTTATATTTTCACCTGCTAATCTTAAATCATTAGTTAATTTTTCTAGTTTAGAAATATGTGCTGAAATGTTATCTGTGGGATCCTTTACGTAACCAAAAAATTTTTGTTGTAATAAATACATATTCGCCTCAGATTTTTGTTCGTAGACACTTAATAATTTTTCCCACATTTCATATGCACTTCCACAATTAATTAAATATTGCATTGGACCACTTTCTACCGAAGTTACTATTACCTTTTGACACTTACTGTCTGCTTTTGTCCAAGCGATTAATTGATTTTTATACCGGCTTCTTGCCTCTTCATCGGATTCCTTGTCCGAAAGTTTAGTTATCTTGGAACTTGGTCTCGTCCAGTCCCCTGTAATCAAACTACCTAACTCAAACGAGTTAATTACTATTTTCATCTGGAACTTCCACAATGGCCATTCTTCTGCGTTCGCCAACTTTGACACCTTGACCGAATCCTCCATGACTTGATCAAATATATGAACTGCAAAAATGTACCTTAGTCTATTTGTTCCCTGTTAGAACCTGTCAAATTCTAATGTTGAATTTTTCTTTTGTTGTCCTGTAATCATCAATGACGATGATCTAGTGATCTAGTGATCTGGGCCCATAACCTGTTGAAAGGAGGTTATAATATGGATCGACAAAAGATAAAATATACAACACAATTTAGTTATAGTAAGAATACGTAATATTTCACTAAAACTAAAACACATAACTAAGTATGAAAAGTAATTTGACTTCTAACAATGTAAGTACTATGCTTACGAGATATACATGACATACACATAAGTAATACCTAAAATGCAGTGCCTACAGTACACAACTAAACAATCTTATATACTAATGATCTACTGACCCCTGGCTCACGCCACTTTACAAGCTTGCTTATTGGCTAATACAATATCACGCCATATGTGGTGTGATTTATCAGATTCTAATAACAGCTATATTTTGTTATACACAATATGATTATACTACTAATACAATATTAAATTATATTCAACAAAATAAAATAAATTTGTGGATAAAGCGAAAAGTCTCTGCCGACAAATATTGGTTTTGACGAAATTTGAACTTTAAATGCTTATAAAAAATAACCATGATGCCTATGTATTGTTAATATTTTAGCTATAATAAAAAAACTTACGTACTACATTTTTAAGCTTTTTAACCTGATGAATAATTTTTTATTGACATTTATAGAAAAAAAATTTGAATTAATCAAATACAATCCAAGTTATTAAGACGGTATAACCAAGCTTGTTACCAAACAATTTAAATAATTTTTCATTTTATTTCTCCAATTATTTTTAAAAGTACTAAGAATTTTCAATTTCGACCTCCTAAAAGTACTCACTAGATCCAATTTGCTTCCAAAAACATACACTGGGCATCGAAGCTTATGATCAGAGCATTTTTTCTACCAGAAGAGTTCAAAAGTTCAAACATTTTAAATTACCATAAATAAACGTCTGCAATTATTAGACTGGACAAAATTAAAATTAAATTGTAACTAATTTTCAAGCCCACCCCATTGAAAAATCCTGCGGACGCCACTGCATACGTACACTCATTTTTTAGTTCACACTAATTTTTAAAATTAAACCGCATGTTTATGCAAATAAAGTACGACCTCAATTCTGCAAATTTAAAAGTATGTAAGTACTTAGTACTAAGTGTCTAAGTATATCCTTTATTAGTAAATGTTATATGGAGGGGGGCTTTTGTCACTACAACAAATTTGGACTGTTTAAAATATGATAGGTAGCTTTTTATGATCTCCTAAATAAATTGATTGTCCCGAATTGTTAAGTGAGATTGGTATTGTAACTCATAATTATTTAATTAGAAGCTCATGTTTATTTTTTGTGCCTTTAAAAAAAAAAAAAAAAAATGTACCGATTCTTTTTTCCCTTGCGCTCATACGTTATGCAACCTAATTTTTAATGAGGTTGATTTTTTCATTTTTATGTCTCATGATTGTATCAGAATGAAAGCTTTGTTATTATTTTCAAGTTAAAACCATTATTATTATTATATTTTTCACAATTTGTGTATTATATTATATCATTTATTAAAATTAAAATTTATATTGTACCTATATATTATTATTTTTCTTTATGTTTTTGGATGTCTAGATTATTATTATATCTTCTATGTTAAAGGGCTTGTGTCCCGTAAAATTGTTATTAAAAAAAAAAAAAAAAACATTATTATATTCTTCAACCTTGAAATATGCTTTTTATGTGCTACAGAATGTTGTAGAAGCTGCATACTCTCAGTAAAAAATGTTTAAAACTATTCTCTAATTATAATTGTAAAAAAAAAAAAAAAATAAGAAAATTGATAAATACAATTCCAACATAACAAGACTTTTTCTTTTTAGATACTTTAAATGTAATAAAGCTTCATTACATTTATGTACGGGATCAATGAAAAGATTAAGAGATAACAGCATTGTTATAATTCAGCCACATAGAAATCATGTGGGGGATGCAAACAATACCATCCTCATCAACCGTTTTAGAAATGTATTAAAACAAAGAGGATCAACGGAAAATATATTATTAAAAACCATTTATGATGAGGAAGCAAGAAGGTAATTTTATCACATATAATATAATAAATTGAACATTGTGTAATAATAAGTATAATATATAGGCATTTGGTAGCTGCATCCCCTGGTCTTCTGCAGAGTCTATTATGCGTTTGGCCAGAAGAAAATCATTGCCCAGATTACCGAATAATTTAAGGGAACTTGCCACACTGTTTGATGATGGGCAACTTGAAAGATTTGGTTGTTGTGAGGCAAATTTTTTCAGATGTTGTGTACAAGACACTGATGGTAAAACAAACATCATATTTGCTTGTACTCAATTTATTAATACTGTGTTACTGAACGATGTAAATGAAATCCATGCAGACGCCACCTTCAAAATAATCCCAGCTAATATGGGTTATCAATTATTGGTTTTGCATTGCATGATTCAAAATTATGTAAGACAGACAAAATTATGAATGTCAATATAAAATAATAATACTTTAAAACATTTTTATAGTCCATACCTGTCATTTACGTTCTGATGGAGGGTAAAACGAGAAGATCGTATGAATGTGTCTTTCAGTTTGTAAAAAATAATTTACTACCTACATTAAGACCGAGTATTATTATAACAGATTATGAAAGTGCTTTGAGGGATGTACTATTATCAGTTTTTCCTGGAGCCCAATCTGTTGGATGCTAGTCCCATCACAACCAATTAAGAGTTATATTATGTTACCTACTTTAAAATTTTTCATTAACATTTATAACATATAGGCAGTGACGGACTGGCAAGGGTTGCCAGGATGTGATCTCCCGTGTACACTTTGAAAAATAATTTAAATTAACTGCTTATAAGAATTATTTTCATTAGGTGCCTAATCTATATTTGTTTCAATTTTAAAGGCTGTATGGAGAAAAATTAAGAAACTGGGTTATTTAAACCATATCAATAATAATGCCAATGCTCTAAAAGCGTTAAAACTATTAATGTGCCTTCCTCTATTACCCGCTCTTACCATTGAAAATGGTTTTTCATTAATAACAGCATTTGCTCGAAACCATGGAGTCCATTTGCAACAACTATTTCAGTATTACCAAAGTTAAGTATTTTATGCACTTAGACGAAACAAATTTGAACAGTGATTGTGATAGTTTTAGTGACATTATGTGATAGTGACGTTACTATAATATATTGTTAACGTAGTTTTTTATAGTTATATTACTTACAATGTTAAATATTGATAAATGTATTTAATTTAATTTTAAAAATTAATAACATCCCCTATTACCCATAACTAGGGGTTGATTAAGAATGAATATTATATTTGGATACACCCTTAGAACATGTAAATTAATTGATGTTCTATATACAAATTTTATGAAAATTTAGGAAAGTAGCTATTTTTACCCCTAATTAGGGGCTGATTTAAGAACTGATAAGAAATTTGGATTCAGCATGTTAAAAACTATTAGAATTGATATTTAACATAATTTTTTTAACTCATATTAAGAAGGTATTAATTAATGTAAGCTAATTTACAATACAGACCACTGTGCGTCGCCGCTACCGTCGCCGCCCTTGAAACTGTGTCAGTGTTTGTATAAAGCGTGTACTATAATAGTGTTACCATAATATTACGCGTTTACGTATACCTACATACATAAAATTTTCATTTTTGCGCGTTTAATTACGTAATTGTTTTTTATACGAATAACATGGACAACATGGAAGACGTCGCAAATATTTCTCCATGCAAAAAAAATCCAAAAGGAAAAGTAAGTGTTTCTTTACTATTTTTCACGGATGGGCATTAACGAGTTAAAAAGTTAAAAAGTTAATTTTATTATAACTTTTTAACTTAACTAGTTACTTTTGGCTTTTAATTAACTTGACTGTTAACTTACTTCCTAAACGTGAAATTAACGAATTAATTTTTCATTTTAAAAAGTAAGTTAAGTTAATTTATTTTGTTTTAAATTTTATTATATTTTTAATTTTTAATTTTTAAATATATATATTTTTTTTAGTTCGTTGGCACTGGTCAAAAGAATATAATTATTAATGTGTACAAGGATAAAATCAAACAACAGCTCGAAAATCCAGAGATGCCCAAATTGTCGTTCAGGGACCTTATCGTTAGCATTTCAAGAACCACTGGTATTGGGCAACGTACAATTCAAACTACATTGGGAGAATATAAGAAGGAACGTACAGTGTCATCGCCCAATAAAAAAAGTGAGACCTACGGTACTTCAAAAAGTGGACGAATTCGACAAAAATGCCATAAGGCAAAAAATTCACAATTTTTGGAGAAACCGTAAGGTGCCAACAATTTCAAAAATGTTAATTGCCATCAATGAAGACGACTCATTACCGAATCTGAAACGTACGTCTTTCCAATTATTATTAAAAGATTTACAATTTTGAGTACGTCAAGAAAAATCGCAACAGTGCTCTTCTCGAAAGAGAAGATTTAATATCTTGGTGCCGAAATTATGTGTTGAAAATAAGGCATTACGGAGCACAGAACAGGCCAATATATTACTTAGATGAGACGTGGGTCAATGCAGGCGAGACGCATAGCAGAACGTGGGTAGATACAACAGTCGCATCAACACGAGATGCACACCTGAGAGGTCTCACCACAGGGCAAAAGGCACCCTCCGGCAAAGGTAAGCGTCTCATTGTATTACACATCGGGTCGTCAGACGGTTTTGTTCCGGGGGGCCTTTTGTGTTTCGAATCCAAGACCAATTCTGCGGATTACCATGACGAAATGAATGGCGATACGTTTTACGAATGGTTTGTTAAGACCCTACCATTACTTAAACCGAACGCGTATTTTCCAATCCTAGTACGTTTCAGCGCGGGGGGCGGAGCCAAGACCTTTCTGCATGATGTATATATGTTTTTACCGATCCTAATCTGATTCAGAGCGATGCGCTGAACCCACATAGGGTTCGTAATTTTAATACAAACACTTAAAACAAAATATATCATATTACATTTTAACATAGTACATTGTTTTACTATCAATATTTATTCAAAAAAATTAACAATAACTACATATTTCTGTTTTTATTACTGTGTTCGTCACATTATATTATAGTCATAACATAAGTATTACTAATAACAATATTATAAGTTAAATATTTTTAATCAGGCTGAGCGTTGTGATATAAAAATGTCATTAATCTATATAAAATGCAGTACTAATAAATAATAAATAAATAAATAATAATTATAATACAAGTAAAATATTTTTTATCAGGCTGAGTATACATATTACATACAGCGTCATGGTATACAATTTTCATTAACCTATTATTATAAAATGTGTCAATAAATAATAAAAAAATAAATAATAATAATAATAATAATATAAGTAAAATATTTTAATCAGGCTGTTTTACATGCAGTGTTCTGTGTTATTGTATAAAAATGTAATGCTAGTGATGTGTTGCATTGAGTTTGTTTGCTTGTATATTTGCTCCTAAATTTCTTTTGTCTTTTTTTTTTTTTTTTAATTGAATTGTTTCGGCTTTAGATGGGCGCCCTGCTTGAATACGTTTAGATCCTTTAGTGAGTCCAGCTCTATCTTTACGACGTGCGATTGCAGTTGGTTGTACACTTATATTTTTATCCATTCATCATGTAAAATGTAAATTTGACGTGTCCTGGGATTTATTGGTGAATTAGCTAGGGTTATTGATATTAATATTTATAGCTATTAATATTGATACCATCATTTTGAGTTGAAGGAAACATTATGAGATAACTTAACAATACAATTTATATTGGGTAATTCCACAGCGTAATATAACAACACTGTATGTAGCACGTATACATACATTATAATATAGGTACATTATATTAAATAGGTATATAGTCATGTACGATGTACCTAACCACAACGCTCAGCCTGATTAAAAATATTTAACTGATATTGTTACTAGTAATACTTATATTATGACTATAATATAATGTGACGAACACAGTAATAAAAACAGAAATATGTTGAAAAAATATTCAGCGCGCTGAATCAGATTAGGATCGGTAAAAACATATATGTATACATCATGCAGAAAGGTCTTGGCTCCGCCCGCCGCGCTGAAACGTACTAGGATCGGGAAATACGCAAACCGAACGCCATCATCGTCATGGATAATGCTTCATACCATTCCGTAAAAAAACAGAAAATACCAGTGAGGTCTTGGAAAAAACAAGCTATAATTGATTGGCTTGAGAGTAAAGGTGTGATCGTTACTCATCCTATTGTTAAAAATGATTTAATGAAAAAAGTTTACAAAATAAAAAAACATCACGACACATACGTAATCGATGAGTACGCAAAAGATAACGGAAAACTCGTATTGCGATTACCTCCATATCACTGCGAGCTAAATCCTATCGAGCTCGCGTGGTCGTCCGTGAAAAGTTATGTCCACAACAACACCATCAAATTAAAGGACGTAATGGAATTGTTAAAAAAAGGCGTGGAACACGTAAGTCCGGATATGTGGAAAAATTTTATTGAACATGTTAAAAAGGTGGAAGACAAGTTTTGGGACTTGGAACATATTACCGACGAATTAATGGACGAGCTAAGACGATGAACGTTCTCACGATAGGAACAGGAGATACAAGTTCTTCTGATTATGACTCTGTTTGATTTTTTTTTTGTATTCAAACTATTTTGACTTTTTTTATATTTTGATTATTTTGTACTTGAATTATTTTGATTTTTTTGTATTTTTACCATTTAAATTTTTTTGTAAATCAACTATTTTGATATTTTTTTGTATTTGAATAATCTGAACGATTTTGAACTATTTTGATTTTTTTTGTATTTTTTTGTATTTTTTACTTGAATTATTTTGATTTTTTTGTATATAAACTATTTTGATATTTTTTTGTATTTGAATAATCTGAACGATTTTGAACTATTTTGATTTTTTGTATTTTTTCCGTTTTAATTTTTTTGTATATCAACTATTTTGATTTTTTTTGTATTTGAATATTTTTTAGTAAGTTAATATTATAAAGTGTATTATGTTATATAACAATGTATTATGTTGTTGGTATACATAAATAAAATATGATATTTCATACATATTATTTGCATTGTTATTAAATACATAATAGGTGCCCCAATAGCCAGCTATTAATTTATTCTCGTGTTACTTTAGCCCAGTGGTTCTTAACCTTTTTTAGTTCAGCGCCCCCTTTATCGTAATAACTTACTGCTAACGCCCCCCCTCAAAATCAAAATTTCTTCTAATTAAAGGTCCCCACACACTGCAGTGGTGGCGGTGGCGGTGGCGGTGAAGCCAAGACAATAGAATTTAACGCCACCGCTGCAGTGTGTGGGGGGGACCTTAAGATATACAGGGTGTCCCGTGAGGATTTACTCATTGCGATATCTCCTGAAATAATAGAGATATCGTAATTCTGTTTTCTTATTAAGACTCACAGAGGTAACACTACAAATAACTAATTTTTAATTTTTTTTTTATGTTTTGGTAAAAAAGTTAAAAAAATTATTTTTTTAATTAATTATTTAAAAAAATATTGAAGATTGCCATTTTGTAGAGTTCATTTTTCTGAAAATATTGACGTTTCAACATTTTAATTTCATTAATTTCCTGATTTTTAATAATTTTTTTAATTAATAAGTAAAACGGCAAAAAATCGGTTTTTGTCCGGGCGACGAATCCCCCTCTACGGCTAATAGGTATATCCTCACGGGACACCCTGTATATATATATATTTATTTATTCATCAGTATATTACAGTATAACATTATTAATTAAAGTAAAAACTCTTATTTTTAGATAATAAAGGTTATATTTTTCACCACTTAACAAAAACATTTTACTTTACTATACAAAAAGAATTACTTAACTATGAAAAAAACTATTAAAAAAAAATTATAAAATATAAAAATCATACCTATCAATGACTGCCCCGAGCCTGATGAGTAGCTGCTAATGTGGCGATGTCTGGTTCGATATTGGTCAAAGCTAAAGGTAGATCACCTTTGTTACAAATGTCCAACCGATTTCTTTGTTTCGTCAAAAGCTGAACAACAACGCTGAATCCTTTTTCAACTTGCAAGGTACAGTATACAATAGTCCAGTTATGGTTGAAAATGTAAAAATATATTTTTTATAAACAAGACGTTCCCGATACGTAAAATGCGATTAGATAACATTCCGTATGTAGTTGTATCGTACGCAATTACAACTATTCTGATTTCACGTTCAATTGAACACACTCAATTTTCAATTTGTAGTGTTGTTATATAAATATAATATTAATAAATTGTATTATTTTTAATCTCCGAGTTTGAAAAAGATCACCGCCCCCTTCAAAACTATCGCCCCCCATAGAGACCGAAATGCCCCCAAGGGGGCGGTAGCGCCCCCGTTAAGAACCACTGCTTTAGCCGGTGTATACAAACGGCGGCCGTGATATTTGCCGCTGGTCACGCGTAACGAGTGGGAGAATTTACGGCGGCGCGGGCGCCTATATAGGTGGTAGAGTAGGAGAAATGTGGGTACGAAACCGTGGAGCTCCGTCATTTGGATGCGCAAACGAGAAGCGTTTTCTCGCTGGCCCGAGTATACACAATACACATAACACTTAAAACCTGAAAATTGAATTTTTTTCACATATCAGCTTTTGGCTCCCAACCACAGAATTATAATACAGATTAATATGATTTATATTTATTCTTTAAACAAAAAAAAAATAAACTGTTATCAGAATTTAAGCTTAATAACTTTTAATTGTAAACATCAAAAATTGAGAAATCTTGACAAGTAAAAAAATATTTAAGGGTGTTTATAAAAATAAATAGTGAAATTTAAGTTTTTTTGAAATTGTGTTTAATTAAAACCAGATTTTTAAAACACACTAGTAAAAAAGTATGTTTTTCATTATTGAATACCAATTTTTGTACTATGCATAATATATTATAGTATATTAAATAATAATATTATGGAAAATGTCTGTAACATAAAATTATGATAACTAAGTATTTAATAATACATATTTTTCACACCATTATTATGAACCATTAGGTTAGAGGTACTTTCAGTGTATGTTGATTCAATGATTGTATCAGACAGAAGATGTTCCAATTGATACTCAGTACTTAATGTTGTTGCTATATAATATAACATTATAGAAAATATTAAAAGTTAAGTAAAGCACTTTTAATTTAAATAATAAGTAATAACAAATGTACATTTACATGCAGTAGTACATTTGTAAAGCATTTTACAGTTTTAAATTACTTTTTTTAAAATTGTTGATGAGTGTAGTATTGGAACTCAAACTACTATGTGATACAGCACTTTCTTGATCTGAAAAAAGTACATATTATAGGACCTAAATACAGTATTGATGAATATTAACAATTCATACATTTATATTTATAATATGTAAAAAAAATATATAACAAAGTATAAATATTTTGTTTAATTAGCTAATAGATACTACTATTTACTCTTTTTAATCTTTATGCTAGGAGTACTTTCAGATTTTGAATATGATTCAGCGATTGTATCAGATAGAAGAGGTCCTAGTTCTTAAATCAGATGACAGTAGAGGACTCCCACCTGCAGTAGTGCCACTTGCAGCTATATACAATTAGGAAATATTTGTATTTTATTGTGATAATATTTTTAAACGATTAACATGTTGTAACATAACAATAATATAACATATTATATTACATAATGGCAATACTGGTGGTACAGGCAACTTCAAAAAATCTTTATCAAGTTCGCGTGAACGTTTTGCAGTTTCTTTTCGTTTTTTAGTTTTAGGCTGTTCTGGCGATTCATTTTCGAAACTACTATCAGATGAATCCGGTTGTGACCAAGCTTTTAACACTTTTTTGCTTGACTTTCTCTTTCTAAAAATATTATGAAAAATAAACTCGAGAACTAATAATCTATATATTTTAGTATCTATCACTTACCAAATGGCCCTGCTATAGTATTTATGTCATAATTTGTGCCATCTACATAATTTATTGCTGTGCATTATTTTTATCATGGTGGAAACTTGTGAATAAGTTGTGATATAGTATAGAATATTTCCTTTCTATCTTTTTTTAAAATAGGAAACCAACAAACATTTTCGTTTTGAAACCAGGTATTGGGGACATGTTGAATTTCATTGTATATATATAACAACTTTATTAAGCGGACTGCCCACTATGCGGGTTGCCAAAAGACACAGTATACAAAGTTCAATATTAAAATACATAGGATTGTTAAAAATTATAAAATTATAGTAAACAAAATATATACAAATAAAATTGCTGTATGTTCAGAATGGATGAGACGTTTACTAGGTAGAATTAATTAAGATTTAAATGAATAAAAAAATACAGATTAAATATTGAATAATAAGATAAAATAAAATAAAAATAAATAAGGTTTATACATAAGATAAACGATGATATAATAGTTTACGAATATAAGTGGTAGTTTATAATATTGAGTGTATCCCTTAGGAATACACAAACATATTTTTACTAGATCAGAGATGTTTAGTCCATGGGTTCTGAAAAAATTTCTCAGAAAGCAAGATGCGGTTCCTCGGGCCCCAAACCATAAACCCACGACGTCCCAGTTGTTGATGTTGTATTGATTCTTAAGTATGGGGACGCATGGTTGGTATATCGCCCTCTTTTCCTCGTCCACTGCTGTATCTTGCAGGGGGTTATTTGTTTCCCAACGAATTGTTGGGTCTAAAATGAGTCCGTGGTTTTTTATCCTGTCCAGCACTATAATATCAGCTCGACGGTTTTGGGTGATACCGTCATTTGTTGTTTCGCAGTGAACTTCCTCATATACTTCGAAATTTTTACTCCGGAATAGGTCAGCTATTGCTGAACGAACGCGATGATGAGCCGCATTTCGCAGTAACTCAGTCTTTGGACAGGAGCCTCTAATGTGCGGTAGTGATTCAACAATATTATTCTCATTGCATACTTCGTTTCTGCAATGGCGACTACCACCCACGCTGCGACCCCCTGTTCCACGGTTAGACATTGAGTTATCGATGCTTTATCGCGTTGGTCCATTCACTGCCCGATAAACCACCTTTGTTTGATACCCAGGCGTTTGTGAGAGTGCATTTATCATACCAGAGTACACCGATTCCCCTCTGGCATAGTTGTTTCCATTTGTTAAATTCACTCGCCCGCAACTCTGAGCGGATAGCCTGAGCATTTTGACCTATTACGTTACCCAAACGGAGACGACACTTGGCTATTTCATCTGGGAGATCGCGGACTGCCTTTAGATGTCGGTCATTTATTCTCGATAACTTCTGTGCAATTGCTAGGTGCTGTAAGGATGCTTCCCAAAAAGTTCGTAGCATACCCAAACCGCGGACTTTGCGGCCGCTATAGAATACTGGAATGGGGGTATCAGCTGGTAGCCCGCATATTTCCCTAACACCTTGACGTATTAGCATGTCTACACGTTCCAGAAATGATTGATGGAGAAGATCGACTGGTGTTGTTTGCAAAGGATAGATTAGTTTTGGGTAGACATATTGGTTGAGAATATTGAGTTTTTGGTCACCTCTTAATAATGGTGAAGTGACTAAGTTTCTAAAGTCTTTTTCCAGACTTATTAGGAATTCTTTTTGATCAAAAATAATTTCATCTTTGAAGTTAACTCCCAAGTATTTTATGCGATCGGTATCGCTTAGTGATGGAATTACGGAAGAATCTAAAAGAGTAATTACTTTTGGCGTAAGATTTCCGTTTTCTATATTAATTGCATGGGATTTCGACGGGTTTATTTGCATTCCCACTGAAGAGAACAAGTCTCTGGCCATATCAACCAGTATGGTGGCGGTTTCCAAGTCTTTGGCTATGATAGTTGTGTCATCAGCAAATCCTATTACTGAGATGTTTTCTAGATTATCGTTTAACTGGAAACCATGTATGCTAGCTACTCCTGGGTCGGAAATTTGTTTTAGGACGAAGTCTTGACAAATATTGAATATCGTAGGTGAGAGCGGAGATCCTTGAGTTACACCTCGAAGCATGTTTATTGGTTTGGACGATTTCCTGTTCACTTCGACAGTTATGTTGTTGCCGGAAATTAGAGAGAACACTAGGCTGCGAAGGTTTGGTGGAATCGGTAGCGACTCTAAGGTCTGTTTGATATGATTGTGGCCAACTGTGTCGAAGGCTTTTGCGATGTCAAGAAAAACCACACAACCAGATGATTTATTTGTTTTAGCCGTTTTAAGAACGCCATTGACTATTGATGCATTGATATGTGTGCTCGGTATCCCGGTTACAAAACCCCTCTGATGACAAGTAAGTTGAATGTGACTACGTAGTTCCTGGTCTAAACTTCGTTCAATTATCCGCCTAAGAACGCTGAATATGGTAATTGGACGCCAGTTTCCGATGTCGGATTCGTGGCCTTTCCCTTTATATATTAAAATTGTCCTACCGGTACGAAGTTTAAGTGGAACGTAGTTCCATTTAAGCATTATGTTCGCGATATTACAGATAGCTCGAGCGCCATGTACATGTCTTATTGTTCGTAAGAAAATGCCGTCTACTCCAGGTGATGTATCAATAGCAATAGATTTAATAGATTTTTCTATTGAGTCTAGTGCAACCGAGAATGGTGTCAAGTTTTGGTCGCCTCCTGGGTCATACGATTCGCGGACGGAGTTGTTGGCGGCCTCAAAAATACCTCGAAAGTGATTCTCTATCACGTCTAATTCGATGCTTATTTTTGCCTTGTTTGATGAGTTTAGAAGGCGGTTTGCCACCTTTCTCCTTTGGTTGGCGTACTGCCATTGTGCCATGTCGTAATGATATTTATCACGGGTTCTTTGGGCTTGGCGTTTTGTTGCGCGTTGCGGGTTTGATGATTCTCTGTATTGGCGATCCATGACATTGCGGTGACCTTGCTTGCGCTTTCGGTAGAATGCAACAGCTGGATTTGGGGGCCTGGTAGTCGGTTGTTGGCTTCGAAGAGGAAAGTGGAAAACTTGGCAACAAGTTTGTCAAATTCGTTAATAGAGCTTTCGTTCGGATTTAGTACAATGTAAGATTCGAATTGATTGGCGAATGAGTCTGCTTCTTGAATCAAATTTTTAGATAAGTCGGCTACCACTGCGACTGGTTGTGGATTAATGGCTTGGATATTGCGGATGGGTGCCAAGCTGGCGTTTAATGGATTGCTGCTACTTGAACCAGATGCCGCTGGCGTTGAATCGATTAGTCTTTGGGCTCTGATTGCTGCGCAAGGCCCGGAAGCTTTTGCCAAGTGTCCATTTAAAGAGACATAATCCTTGCCACACCCGGGACATTTAGATTTCGGTTTTGATGGGATTAGGTTGTGCGGAGCTACTAGTGATGGTTGAGACAGGGTTTCGTTTTGAGAGGCCATTTTAGACGGGACGTGCCCCTTAGTGTGCGTGTGGCGGCAACCGAATAAACAGATGTGTTCCCCGTTAGGGTAATGTGTAGGCAACCACGATGGCGCCCGATTACGCGCGGTAAGATTAGTTGGCGACCTAGAATGGCCTTGAAACGGCGGCGCTCGTTGACTGCGACGGCTTAACTAAAGTAATACTGTTCAAAGGTTACTTACCAATATGTAGTATTGTCCAAGGGGGATTTTTATCACGACTTGACAGCGAACACCGGTTCGTATTCGAACTATTTATCGTGAAGTAATATCCGGTGGCGCGAGATAAGACACATTTTTCTCGTGATTCGAAGATCACGTGGGTCAATTACGGCAGGCACCAATGTTGTTATTTCTCAACCGGAATTTAACCGGAACTCGCGCGGATGGGTGTAACGGATTCGGCGTGGCGAGACGGATATTTTGGTCCCGGACGCGTAAAAAACAAAGCACATTTACCAAAGTTAGATATAAAAAAATAGTAAAAATTGCAACGTACCAAGACCTAAATAAATTTCATAATACAATTTATTACATTATACTGAATTTATATTTTATACTGACTAAGACGTAAGTAGGTAACATAATGTACTAATAAGGAACCATTTTTCTGTGATAAAAAATGTTTTGTTTCGTCTTCTTAACTGTCACTAAATACCCTAATATAGACTAAATATTTATATTCATATTTTAGTAATTAACACTCAGTAAATTAAATTCACTTAAATATGATTTTTAAATTTCGAAATGTTAATACAATAATACCATAATAAATAGCAAAATTATAGCTACCAATAACTATCTATTTCTCTAAACTATAGAATTTATAAATAACAAGCTCCATTAAATTATTAAGCAATATAATATATTCAGCATATTAAACATCATGCTTCTGAAAGCATAAATATGGTTGATAGCAATACAAATTATAATTATTATTATTATTATAATATATTATTTATACTTACATATTATATTTATCTAATGTAATATTATAATCTTCATATAAGTATGCACTCTATTGTAAAGATAGGATGCTTTGTAAGGATTTAACCAAATTAAAATAATTATAGATACACATACTGTTAATATAAACATATTAAACCTACTGTTTACGCCGACAGCACTCCTTATACCGAGGTTGGCACCTACGACTCGCACCACACTAGGAATTGGTAATTACTGATATTATAACATTAAGGAAGCGGCGATTTTCTGTCTTTGTCTAACACACGTGCAACATAGGATTATAGACGTGTTCTATGTCCAACGTACCGATTAATCTAGTGAAGCGATAAGAATTCTGAAAACAGATTTGAATTTGTCGTCAAGTCTACTTGAGATCGACTTTCCCACATTTTTGATATTATCCCCCAAAAATCTTAAAAGTGATATATTAAAAAGAGTAATTAAAAAATTGCCATATTTCAATTTTTGGAGAAGTTTTAATCAAAATATCAAAAATGTGGGAAAGTCGATCTCAAGTAGATTTGACGACAAATTCAAATCCGTTTTCAGAATTCTTATCGCTTCACTAGATTAATCGGTACGTTGGACATAGAACACGTCTATAATCCTATGTTGCACGTGTGTTAGACAAAGACAGAAAATCGCCGCTTCCAATCCCCTTAACAAACCATCATTATTTTTATTACATGAAAAATATCAATATACAACTTACTAGAGGACGGCCAATCCTCCTAATTTAAACAACTTACTAATAAAAACAATATAAATATTTTAAAATTATTATGGAATTGCTCATTACAATTACATGACATAAAATAGGGAAATGCGGAGCTGCTGATGACGAAGATGAATCTAGATAATCTTGAGGTGTCGAGCTGACGGGTTGGTTTTGACCGAACTGGCAGGTGTGGATGAACTGGCCACGTGTATCTTGCAGAAAGAATGGATACAGCACTTTATAACAAAGCTGTATCAGTACCGAACTGGCTAAGATGTGAACTTTTGTCAACTAGAGGTTTATTTACTTAATTGACAGCAATAACTTTTCATAATATCAACTTAGGTTATTACGGAGAAAAACCATAGGTATGTATTGTATAGGCATAAGCCACAAAAAAAACAACTAACAACAAACGGTACTAAGTCGAACCAAGTGAACAGACTAGACACCGACGTCGAAGCGAGACGGCAGTGAATAGAGTATGGTAGTAATGACGTCACGATAACCTAATCACGTATTGATAAGAGCGCCTGGTTCCAAACAATACGATTTTCATATAAGAACTGTATGCACTATGTTGTTTTATGTAAAGTTTTAGTAAATAATCCACATTTTAAGCTTAATTATGGTTAATTGTTTTGTGCCAAACTGCAATCATTACAGTGAACAAAAAATCTGCCAATTCTTCAGATTTCCGGCAGATAATTTACTAAAATATAGATGGATAAAAAATATCAGGTTAGTATAATATTATATTATTATGCATAATAATATCTTAAATATTAGGTAATTAGATTGTAATTAGGTACTTAAGTACTTTATAAAAATCGAAAATTTATGTTATGAAATATATTATACATAAATAAGATTAATAGGTACTTATCCTATGAGATATCATTCTATTGAATCAAATATAATATTATTTTTTATTATTTTTTTCCACTGGTTTATTTTGATTTAGGAGAGCTGATAAAGATCCAAATTCTAATTCACGAATATGCAGCTGTCATTTTATTGATTCCAAAAAAGAAAATAATCCAACAATTTTTATGTGGAATAAAGAAAAACAATGTGTGTTTGTTTCTCCAGAAAAAAAGCTTCGAAAGAAACGTTTACGGCTTGTACCTACAGTAATTATGAATAATATTATAATAATTAATAATTGACACATTAATAATTTGATTTGTGTATAGGAAACTGTAACTTCCACTGAAGAAAATCAACAAGTTGATGAAGAAATTCAACAACATATTGTTACTGTATCTAATATGACAATTCCTGTTTTAAATAATCAGTTTAATGGTTCTAAGACTCAGTCAGTCATAAATGAATCAGAAAATGAATTATTAAAAATTGAAATAGAGAAGCTAAAAACTAAAATAGATATCTTAAAAAGTCAGCCATTCTCATTAGAAGTCATACAGGAAAAGGATAGTCTGATAAATTACTACACAGGGTTACCTAATAAGGAAACTATCAATGTTTTTTTTGCTATTTTTAAAGACATGTCTATTACTTACTTTTTGGGATGGAATGTAGAACGGATACCTAAAAACGATCAAATTTTAATGGCACTAATGAAGTTGCGCCTAAATTTGGATTTCATTGACTTAGGAGTTAGGTTTGGATGTAGTCGCAAAACAGTAACTAACATTGTGTTGACTTGGATTCATGTATTCCATACTGTTATTTTCAAAGGTTTTATGGAATCTGTTCCAAGCCAACTAAAAAATAGGGCTTGTTTACCAAGTGTTTTCAACAATTTTGTGAATTGCCGACTAATTCTGGACTGTACTGAAATATTTACTGCGATACCTGGTAAAATGGATCTGCAAAAAATTACTTATAGTAACTATAAACATCGTAACACTTTAAAAGGGCTTGTGGGTATCGCTCCCAAATGGAGTGTTAACTTTCTGTAGTTGTTTGTATCCAGGATCAACTTCTGACAAGGAAATTGTGAAGCATTCAGGTGTTTTAGATATTTTCAATAGTGGAGACTTGGTTTTGGCTGATAAAGGATTTTTAATAAATGACTTATTACCAGAAGGTGTATCTGTCAATATCCCTCCATTCTTGGGATCACCTCAGTTCACTCCCAACCAAGTTATTAGAACATTAACCATAGCCAAAGCAAGAGTACATGTTGAACGTGCAATATGCAGAATCAAAGGATATTCAATATTAGAATTTATCTCACCCAAATTAGTGCCATATGCATCTAAGATATTTCAAGTATGTGGTGCTTTAACAAATTTTCAGTTTCCTTTAATAAAAGAAGTTGAATCCTTTTATTTGCAACCTAAGGACAGTAAAATTTAATTTAAGAAAAGAATATAATTTACTAAATAAACTAGAATTTACAATTCAATATTATACTTAATTTATTATCACAATGCTTTTGAGTAATTTTTATTAAATGTATAGTAATTTGTATTTAAGTCACTTGAAATATTTACATGGAAACATTTTTATTATTTAAAAATGGAATAAATTGCTGGAAATAAAATGATACTAATTTGTTAATATTTTCTGTCCAACCTGGATCTTTATGTATTTCCAAAACTACTAAATCCTTAATTGTCCAAATAGTAAGGTAACAAATTGATCTGTTAAGTATATGAAGTTGACCTTGGATTTGAGCATAGTAGTCATGTTCATAATTAATGCATATCCTACCATTTATATCATAAAATATTATATAAGAACTATCATTTTGTAAACCTGTTTTAATCAGTTCATTTCGATATTTGTATGGGCACTTTACTTCAATTATCGAATCAAGTCCAACCAAACCATCTGGTGATGCTCCTATAATACCTGTCTTATGAAGCCATAATCCTGTAGGTGTGACTTTTTGATTTGTGATCTGTTCAAATTCAAGAATACCTTGTTTTTCATTTTCTTTACCCCACTGTATAGATTTAATTCCATCTAATTTATATGTACCTATTAATTTTTTGAACAGTGATGGATTATATTTATTACGGTTTATAGCACTTAAAACAGGACCAAAATTACTAGCTGTAATCCTGTACCGTCTTTTCACTAACCATTTTGTATTTAAATCTTGTCCAATCGTTTCTGAAGCCAATTTTAAAATATCATCATCATTCATATCAACTTTTTCAAATAAATATTGTTGCTTATCATTACTTTGCTCAAATTCCGAAGATCAGAGATAAAAGCCACGTTAATCCAACTACACTGCCTAGATTTGTCAATTTCGAGAACACATCATCTTTAAATGAGTTACTGATAGCTACTGTAGCACAATAATCTACTTTATCTTGGGGGACTGGGTATAGCTCATCTATAGTTTTTGTTGTTACAAGACTAGGAGGTATTTTTTTTGACCAGCTACAACCTACATGGAAAGTTATAATTTAAAATATTTTGATATTAATAACTACAATGGCTACAAATTAATTTAGTTATTACTTGCGCTTGTGACAGACACATTTTTATATGCAAAAATCAATAATGTTGCCATATGATGGCAGCGTACTTGACCTCTAGCACAATTACATTTTGCATGAGTTATACCACCATTATCAGAAAAATAAACCTGTACAAGCAATAATTAGGTAAGTATGTTTTATTGTTGAACAGAAAATTTGTTTAGCTTAGTGACACTTTACTTACTTCAATGTTGTAAGTCTGATCCCTCATACTTGCTTTCACAATACCTTTTAAATTATTATTTACAAATACGCACTCCTTTACATGACCAGAATCATAAGCATTCTCACCTCTTTTAACTAATTTTACCTCTTCTTTAAAAAATTCGTACACATTATGCAACTGTATCCAACTTTTGGCACTCATATTAGTTAGGTACCTATATAAAAACTTAAAAACTTAAAACCTGTATTATAGTTATAAAACTTACAAGGAAACTATACTTTTCACTACGATCTAAGTACCTTTATCGTGTTTCTCATACAAATAATACGATATTGTTTTAATTTTATCATTTAGGCAGCCCTAAGTCCGATTAAAATTATATATTCATTAAAATTATATAATGAAAAAATATTGTTTGGAACCAAGAGCCTTATCAGCATTTGATGATAATAAGTCGTGACGTCACACTACCATAATCTATGTCGAAAGGCGTCCATATTCAGTGTCGCCAACACTGGCAAAAGAACGTTAGCCAGTGGCACCTAGGTCGGGGCGCGAACACCTACACTTTGTAATACATTTTATAAACTTTGATGTACACTTTAATAAGAGCTATTTATTTGTAACTTTAAAGAACTATTGGCCAAATTTATAGACGATACTAAGATTTTACTTATATTCAACTTTGCTAAGTTAATATATTTCACTAACTCAAAAGTGGTATTTATAAAGGGTACTAAGTTATTTCTTAGCTAAGATTTTTCTAAGAATATTTCAAGTAAAATTATTTCTTAAAAGCAAAATGTTCGGGAGATTATATATAATTTTATTGTTATCAGCATAATTAATATTTTATTGCCACAGATTAGCTGTCTTATCTGTGATAATAATATCAAATATTGCTAATACGATTTCTTATTAATTACATTAGTTGCTTTAGTAATTAATTTAGTGATTTTAATGTTTGAATGTTCGTTACATCTTGCTATATGTATTAAAAGTTATTTAAGTAATTAGTAAGTAGTCTATAAAAATGAATTCTGATAGCAACACATTAAAAAAATCAAAAGCTTTTATTCATGAAGAAATAGAGTTACTCCAAGATTCGGTTTTAAAAAACCAAGATGTTTTATTGGAAAAAAAAAGTGATTCTTATACAGTAGCTACAAAGCAAAAATTATGGAAGAAAATCGAACTGGAGTTTAATGCTCAAGCACTGTTTACAAATGTAAGTAACTAATTAAAATTAATTCAAAGTTTGATATGTTAATATTTTATTTTCAATGTGTTGATTAAATTTTATTTATTTAGCGTACAGCTGATCAATTAAAGAAAATTTGGGACAATATGTTGCAACACCGAAAGAAAATGTTAACGGAAGAGAAACAAGAGAGAAGGAAAACTGGAAGAGGCACTACAAAAGTTATTACCGAACAATCTGAAATTGATATTTTATTAGATAAAAATATTGATATTGCACTTGAGTCGGTCCCAGATTCCGATAGTTTTCCTATACACATGACATCACCAGAACTTTTTTATGATGAAAATAATGAAGTGCCAATTACAGTAGATAATAATTTCATAGGTATTACAAATTATTATTATTAATTCACATTAGATTCACTAGTATCTGCTAGTATCAAATAATTATTAAAATAATTTTTAGATGAAACTATTGAAGAAAACGAAACAACTATTGAGGAATTCACATTCAAATCACAGCCAAAGCAAACAAAACAATTTAAAAAATCAGGTTCGTAAATAATTTTAATTAAATTATGTTTCATATCATATCAAACTTATAAGTATTACATATTTACATTAATATATAAAAATATCTTGTTGAAAAAAAAGTAGTCAATTTAATAAAAACCCAAGTGTAACGTGCCAACCACTTCAACTCAGTTTTGATTGTATTTTGAATAAAATAACAAGTTGATGGTATAATGATAGTTTAATTGTATTTATTTAACACGTAAAATAGTCTAAGTCCAAATAATTAATTTATAATAATGTGGTAAACGAGATGTGACTTAGTATCGACTTGGTGGCTGCTCTGCTGGTGCTCGTCGTCTCGGCTGGTGTTCGACTTTCGTCTGCTCGGCCGGTGTTCGTCTTTCCTAGAATATGGATATTGCGAGCGTATACCTATCAAGTGTTCGCGCTGTACCATTAATTAGTTCTTATTGATATGGCCGCTCGGATGCTGATATTATTACTATTATCGGTAGTACGTGCTCCCTGCAGCATTTATGTCTATTATTGAGTATAATATATATATTATAATCGTATTTTACCTAATACAATATAAAATAATATATTATTTTATATATTATTACTATTATTAATATATACGTAGTCACAGCTCGTTACACCTCATCACCCTTTCAAAGGTTTTTGTAGGGCTACAATTCGTAGAACTACTAAAATCTTTAAAGAAAATTTACATACAACATGAACATAAATACATAGTACATAATTTTACAATATCAATAAATATAAATTGTTAATAATTGTCATAACGACAATTTTACATAATTTCTTTTCATGACATAATGATTTTCATTTTACATAATTTCTTTTTTTACGATAGGTATATAATTTTTTTATCACATAACAACAATATATATTTTCTTTGTATAACAATATTTTTTTTTTCGTAACATAACGATATTTTTGTTTTTAATAACATAACAATATTTTTGTAAAACAACATTTTTGTTTTCTTAACATAACAGTTTCATTTACATAACAATATATAATATGTTTTTCATCTGATTTTTAAACATAATAACATAATAATTAAAATTTTTGTTAAAACAATATACCTTAATAACTAATACAATAACATACTATATTACTATAGTATTGAATACAATAATATTTTTCATGTTAAGTTACATGTTATATATAATTTATATTTAATGATTATAATTATTTCATAATCTCCTATGGAATTACAGACCAGTATATTTAATAAGTGCGTGTTTAAATTTATCTTAACATTATTGTTAATAATCAGTATTTTACTGCACTGGCATAATTTCAGTAATATTATTTTACTATTAAAACAAAAATGAGTATTATCCATTTTTATGTCACATGGTTACCGTTTTATTATAGGTCGAGTAACCATGCTCCAAACCAAACTTCAAACGTACTTTTGTAAAAACTGTAAAATAATTCCTTTCGTTAACCAGGGAAATGACTAATTCGATTTTCATACTTGTATATGTATGGTTTAATAATTTCTTAATCTGGATTTTCATGATACTTTTTCACGTAATTTTTGTGTACGGTAACCTTTCTTCTTCCCCTTTGGATAACAATATTTTCAGTATCTAACACGTCTAAAATTTCGAAAGGCCCTTTCCATAAAGGTGTCAACTTATTTCTTTGGGTATTATCTCTTAATAATATAGATTCTTTTACATGCAACTCTACACTATGTGCATTACTATCATAATTAGCTTTTGATTTGATTTTCTTTTTGATTAATCTTTCCTTAACGATTTTATGAGATTCCTGCATTCTTTGTTTCAAATTATACAGGGAATCATCGTAATTGTACCTAGGTTCGGGGTTACTTCTTAAATTTACTGGAATATTTATTTCCTTTCCATACAACAAGGTATTTGGCTGATAATTTGTGGATGAGTGTTCTGTCAAATTATAAACGAATAACGCATAAGGTAATAATTGATCCCAGGTGTTTAAATCCTTGTCTACATAATGCCTAAGATATTCGGCTTAAGTTCAGTGTGATCTTTCCAATGCTCCATTGGTTTGTGGATGATACGGGCTAGTATTTATCTTATTAATTTTTAAAAGTTTGCATACTTCTGTTAATGTTTTACTTAGAAAATCTGTCCCTTGATCAGTCAATATGGTCTCTGGAATTCCATGGATATAAACAAAATGTACGACAAAAGCTTCAGCGACAGTATTGGCTGTGTGATTTGGTAATGGTACTCCCAATGAAAATTTGGTTAAATCATCCTGCATTGTTAAAATATAGGTATTTCCAGAAACAGTAGTTATTAATGGTCCTACTATGTCTAGAAATATTTTTTCGAAAGGCTTTGAACTTGTGGTGGTTATAACCATGGGTTGTTTAACTTTCCTATTCGTGACTTTGTTCTTTTGGCCGGACTCACATTTCTTAATGTAATCCTTAACATCAGACTTGAGCCTTGGCCAATTAAACTGACGTTTTATTTTCCTAATTGTTTTGTTTATTCCTGCATGACCTCCAAGTATTGAGTCATGAAATTGTTTGAATTTAATCAATTTTTCTACATCTGTATATTCCATCTTTGAACAAATTAATATTTCTATTAGAGTGTTTCTAAATATATAACTTAACATGGCTCTAACTTTTTCCCATTCTAAACCGTCCTGTCTGCCTAACTGTTTCATTATAAGCTTATTCAGAGAATGTTTTTCGCATAAATGTTTTAGATTTAATAGAGCTGTATATAGATTTTC